TTTGTTTTTTATATTTTGTCGTAAAAACAAATTAGGTTTCACTTGTTTTTTTTTTTACATTAAAAAAATTGATTGAGGTGTATCTTTTATGCATTTTTACATTATTACAAGCAGAAATTATATATTTTCTTAAGATAAATAATGAATCTGAATATTATTTTGTAGCACAAATATTATTTTGTAGCACAGATTAAGTATGCTATAATTATTGATTAATATTTCATTTGTGATAGTTTTCTTATTATTTCCTAAAATAATTTTTAGTAGAAAATTTTTAATTTTTATACTAAACAATTTATTTAAGAAGCAATAAAAAAGCCGACCCAAACAAAGCCAAATATTCCCTAATTTTATTTAGATCTTTTGTTTTATATTTTTCTTTGAAGTTCTTTTAAAACAAAAAATAATAATTTTTTATTTAAAAAAAAAAACATCCTATATTTAATTAAGCTTCTGATTAGAGATTTTATTAATTATTTAAAACTTAATTAAGATTTTATTGTATTTTATTAGGTTTGTTTTGGATTTTTGTGAAGAATAACTGAATCTGGAAACTTGGAGATTTCACAAAAAAAAGGCCAGTTGACCCCTTACAGGCTTATTATACACATCATTTATTATAGGCAGTTGTGCAATGAAGGCTTCCATGTTCTCGCAGCCAAACATACAATGCAGATCGCTTGCAGACTCGCATGTTCATGAATATTGTAATCATAAAGAAAGTTGAAATGTTTAGTATTTCTAAATAAAGAAGGTTGAGTATTGAGGTATTTTTTGTTCGTGAGGTGAGGTATAAACCTCAAGGCTTTGAGGCGTAAGCCTTAAAATTAGAAATTTGCATAAAGTCAAAATGAGGATATCATTTGCTAGGACTTCTTTCATAAATATAATTTTGTTGATTTAGAATAATTCATTTTTTTCTGGCTGTAAATGTTAATATTTATTTAATCATTTAATATGTAAGAATAAGTTTTGTTAAAGCAAGTCGAATAGTCGCATACGAGTCAAAGGAGACGAAGGACCTACCTACTTAATCGATCAAGCACATTTAAGGGGAGAAGAATGTCTATTGTTAAAGCGAGCAAACTACCATCGTCGTATATTTTGATCCAACAGGAAGAACATCGTCAAATGTTCCTGACTTCCGATCCAACAAGGTACATCGTCAACCTATCCTAATTTTTGATCGACCATGGAACATCGTTGAAGAAGGCGAAGAAGCTTTTAGTGACTCCTTTAACACTACCTTACGTGCGGTGCATCAGATGAAGTTCAACATCAAGAATGATTTTATTTCAAGGCAAGGCACTCCTCTGTATATTTGAGGCGTACACATCACAATTAGGGTTTGAAGTGTTTGCCTCGATGCGTTATAGGATCGAATTGTGTTGAGGCGCGCCTTTCATTGCTCAATTTCAAACAATGGTATTTCTTATATGTTAAGGAGTTGCTCTAGATCTATTTTTATTATATTTAATTTGTATTTTAGATACTTTTAATTTCTTTTTTTTTTAAATAAATTAAATTATTTATAGAAATGCTCAAGAATAACTTATATGTTTTTTTTTTTTAATATTTTTCTCTTCTTAAAATGAAATCAGCTCAGTCATAACTATTGTCGTCGACAACCGGTCTTTATTGACCGTCATTAACCACTTCTATACTATTCAATAAAAATAAAATAACACTTATTTAAAAAATTAAATATATTTATAAATAAAATAAATATAAAATTAAAATAAAAAGTGATCAAAAAAATTCTTGAGAGTTCAGGAATTTTTTTATTAGGGCCAGTATAGTCTTTGAGATCAAAATTTAAAATTTATCAATATTTAATGAATCTATCAATTGATTTGATGTAATGAGGTAATTAGATATTGACATTAATTGCTTATATTTAGCAGCTCCAAATATGACGGTTCCCTATTTATTTATAATAAGAACTATGCAAATATATATTTTTAAAGATATGTAGATCATCTCAATATCATTAGAAATAATCAAAGCTCTATAAATTAATTCTTCTACACTCTCTTTTCTATGTTTTCGATTCCTTGATATTTTGTTGATTTTTGTTTAATAATCTAAGATGTCATGCAAGAAGATCATATATTTGATTTTTGTTTGATATTTAGAAAAGTATTCTAGAGTTTACGGTGGAATGATGATGGGTCTAGAGATGTTTATTAGTATAAATATCAAGATTAGTCTAGTTTGGATTGATTTGGCAGATCATTTTAGAGTGACATTTATATGAGATAAATGATTATAAAAGACGGTGAAATGTAAGCTTTGGATGTTAACTTATGATGCGGAGTTGATGGTAAAGTTTGGTGGAGTTTAAGAAGATATTGAAGTACTATATATTACGAAGTAAGCCAAAATGTAATTAACGTTATATCTATTAATGAGCTGGCAGTAGATCATTGGTAGCTGTTATCTTTAGGTCTATGCTTGCCTATATATAGGCCATCTTCTTCCCTGTAATGGTATGCAATAATAATAAGATTTATATTTTCCTCTCTGTTTCCTGCTTCAAGAACCGAAAGGTTCTGTTCAAGAACTCTCAGAGTTCCACATGGTATCAGTCAGCTCGTTCTTTCAGGGCATCCATGGCGACATCTTCCGCCCTGTCTACCGACGCCTCCGACGCCACTACAACAACGCGCGATTCTCCGGTCATTTCTTCTATTCTGAAGTTCGTTGTGTCCAATCTCAAATCCATCGTTCAAATCCAGCTTCAACCGGAAAACTATCCCATTTGGCGGGCTCAAATCTCTAAGGTTCTTCGGGCAAATGGTTTTGAATCTCATCTGCATCCTCCTTCCTCGCCTCCTCCTCCTCTTCTTGATCACTCTGACGGTTCTAATTCCTCCAATCCCGCCCATTCCTCTTGGTTACTGACCGACCAGAACTTAGCCGCCGCCATTTGCTCGACCATTTCTTCTCCCATATTACCCTACGTCATTCATCTTGACTCTACGTTTGAGATCTGGCAAACACTTGAAACCCGATTTCAATCCACCAATAGATCCAAGGTCATTCAATTGAAAAATGCCTTGCACCATATTTCCCTCAAAAACTCCACCGTCACCCAATATCTTTTTGACATTAAATCCATCGTCGATCAAATTGTCGCCGCCGGATCCGCTGTTGACACTGAAGACATTGTTCTTTATATTCTTAATGGTTTACCTCCCTCATATCAATCCTTTAAAACCTCCATTCGCACTATGCTTTCCCTGATCAGTCTCGACAACTTGTACGCTCTTCTACTCAGTGAAGAGGTCAATATCGCTTCAGACACGGTTCGCACTATCTCTGTTGATACTAACACGGCACTCTATTCCAACCGTGGTCGTGGACGTCGCTCCAGAGGGCGTTCTTCCGCTAATCCGCCAAGATCTGCGTCCAACACACTCGTTATCTGCCAAATTTGTCATAAACAGGGTCATTCGGCTACCTCTTGATGGCACCGTTTAAATCTGCAGTATGTGCCTCCAACGCAAAACCAGACTAACACAGCATTGCTCGCTGGAAATTCAAGATCCACTGATGAATGGTATCTTGACTCGGGTGCGTCGTCTCACCTCACCAATTCTTTAGAGAATCTCTCAGTCTCCCAATCTTATCAAGGCTCAGACGGTGTGACCATCAGCGATGGTAGCTCAGTCGGCATTGCTCATTCTGGCTCAGGTGTTCTTCCAACACCTGCTCGTAAGTTGTTTCTATCTAAAATTTTACATACCCCGTCTCTTCACTACAATATTCTTTCAATTTCTCAACTCACCAGGGATAACAATATTTCTATTACTTTCACTCCTAATGGCTTTATCTTTAAGGATTTGCAGAAACAGGAGACGCTGCTTCAAGATCCGTGTACTCGAGGGCTATACCCGATCAGTCCTCAACCTGATAGCTGTCACGACCCGACCCGATCTGGGACGGATCTCACTCGCACCAGGTCGCGACACGGAACGAACAGACTGACTTACTGACCAGGATCTGGTTATGGAATTTGGTTCGGAACTGAATCTTCCAAATAATTTAACTCAAACAGACACACAGACACAGAGCTACTATGAATCATCAAACACAGCGGAACAAAACATCTATCTTTTTTTTTTTTCTTTTCAAAACAATCATCTACAAATACAGTATATGGCTTTTAGACAGAAAGAAACAGAGCAGAAAAGCCATGACTGTACAAAAGTCAAAAGGGTACAAAATAATACCTATAGATCAGACTCTGAAATCTATTCTTGGACCTCCTTCCCTTTCCCATAACCTGAAAACCACCAGAAAATAAGAGTGAGCTCAACAGCTCAGCAAAGCGACAAACCTCCAATCAAAATTCTCAGAATCCAAAACCAAACACATCAGACAAATCCGTACAGAAATCAGAATAGAATCAGACATATATCAAATCGGACAGATCAGAACGGAACAAATCAAATCAGAACAGATACGGACAGATCAAATCAGACAGAACTGAACTGAAAAAATATCAAATCAAACAGAATTGTACGGAAACAGAAGTCGTATCAAATCGGAAACAAAATAAATTAGACATATCAAATCAGAAACGGAATCGTACCGAAATCAAAAATTTAGATCATATCGGAACAGAACAGAATCGTATCAGAATCAGATCATACAAATCAAATCAAATCAAATCAACAGAATCAGAATCGTACAGAATTCAGAATTCAAATCATATTGTACAGAAGTCAGAAATCCTTTCACAGC